TGAAGGATGTATGAACCTCGTCAGGAGGGTACATCATTATCTAGTTGTACCCGGAGTAGGCGTCGAGAAAACTGAGGAGGGCGTGCCCGGATGCTCCGTCAACCAGCCTGTCAATGCTCGGCAGGGGGTATGAGTCCTTCGGGCATGCTCTATTCAAGTCGGTGTAGTCGACGCACATTCGCCATTTCCCCCGAGCTACTTTTTACCAACACCACGTTTGCCAGCCATGTGGTGTACCTGACCTCGCGGAAGCAGCCGACGTTCAACAACGTTTGTGTCTCGGTGATGATGGCCTCCCGCCTTTCCCCACCGACCTTCCTCTTCCTCTGGGCCACTGGCCTTGCCTCCTTGTGTATCGCTAACCTGTGATAGATGAAGTCAACGTCTATACCTGGCATGTCGGCACTGGACTAGGAAAAGAGGTCGGCGTTCTTGAGGATCTCAGCTTCGAGCTGCTGCCGCAACTCCGGGCTCAACTGCTTGCTAATTTTTGTGCACTGCCCGGGAAGACTCCCGATCTGGAGGTCATCGAGCTCGTTGATGGGACTTGGTCGTTCATCATGGGAGTCAGACCTCGGGTCGAGGTCGGTGATATCCTCGTGGGTGATGTGAGCCACTGTGGGGGGATCACTTTGGCGTCGCTCGTCGGGTGAGGAAACTTTGAGACTTTCAGCGTAGCACTGCCCAGCTGTCTTCTGATTTTCCTTGACGGAGATGATCTTACCGTCACTCCCCGGGAACTTCATGTGAGATGCGGGGTGGACACCACTGCTCCGAGTTGATTTAGCGTCGGCCTCCCAATGATGATATTATAGGAGGTGTTGGCTTCCACGAGGAGGTAGCGGATCATGATTCTCCTTGTATCCGGAGAGGTTCCGAAGGTCGTCAACAGATCCACGTACCCTCGAGTGTGAATTCGTTCTCCTGCAAATCCAACTAGTGGCTCTGTGTGAGGCTGGATGAGGGAGTGAGGGATGTCTAACCTGAGGAGCGTCGGCCAGTAGAGGACGTCGGCCGAGCTTCCTTGGTCGATCAATGTCTTGTGGACCTCCCAGTTGGCGACCTCCACGACGATGACCATCGGGTCGTCCTGGTTGGGGCAGACGCCAGTGTAGTCATTGTTGGTGAAGGTGATCGGCGGTGAGCTCTGGTGTGAGGCCGAGGTGGTGGAGTGGACGCCGTTGATACTGCGCAGGTGTCTTTTCCAGGCTAAGCTGCTGGAGCCTCCCCCTGCAAAGCCACCTGCAATGGTGTTGATTACTCCTCGTAGAGGAGCTGACCTTGTTTCCTGGCTTACCTCGGCTTGCATTACTCCACCGGCATTTTGCTGAGAGCCAGAGAGTTGGTCCCTGAGAGATCCTGAACCACGGCCTCTGCCTCGTCCTCGTCCGCCGTAGCCTCCTCTGTGACCCTGCTGTCGCTGGACATATTGGCCGAGGTGGCCCGCCTGGATGAGTTCTTCAATGCGGTCTCGGAGTGTGCGGCACTCTTCAGTGGTATGGCCGTGATTTCTATGGTACCGACAGTGCTTGGATTTGTTGGCACTGTTGGGGGTGTGACCTGGTGGTGGCAGGGTGAGCAGGTTGCTGTTATTGGCCTCCTCCAGGATGTGGACTCTAGACGAGTTCAGGGGAGTGTAGAAGTAGTATCTCCCCCCTTGCTTGTCTTAGCAGTTTTCTTGAACTGGGTGTGATTGTTGACCTTGATCTTGTCCTTGTGGGCCTGTTCTGGCTTCATTGGCCCCTTGCCGCGGACTTGGTCACGAAAAGCGGAGTGCTCCTCCATCTGGATGTAGCCCGCAGCACGGGCGCGGAGCTCGTCCATGTCGCGAGGAGCCTCACGACATAGGTTGTCGACGAACGGTCCGGGCTTGAGTGCAATGAGCATGGCATGCAGGGCGACGTTATGGTTTAAATTTTGGATTTTGACCGAGATGTTGACGAAACGCTCCATGAACGCTCTCAGTGACTCATCGTCGCCCTGGCGAAGGCTAGCCAAGGCGGCCGATGTGACATAGTGGGGTCGACTGGTGGCGTACTAGGCCGTGAACTGCCTCACCAGAGTGTGGAAGTTGTCAATGGACTCAGTGGCAATTGGGTGTACCAATTGAGTGCAGTCCCTTTGAGCGAGGTCGGAAAAACCCTACACAAAATAGCATCGTTGTTAGTGTAGAGGTTTACTTGTGTTGTATACAGGTCGATGTGCTCGTCCAGGTCCGTCGTGCCATCATAACGATCGAGGTGGAGGGGCTTCCATCCGTGAGGGAGTTGTGTCTCCATGATGCCATCCACAAAAGGGTGACGGCGGAAGGTTGCTTGATCCCTTGCGACATGAGTAGGGGCCCTGCTGACTTCGTGGGATGACTTGTTCGTCGGTGCATGAGACCGATGTGTGGCAGGTCGTGGAGTCGGTGCCCTAGTCGCAGTCCGGGGTTGAGAGACCGAATGCCCCTCTTCCTCGTGCAGGTTGCTCACCTGAGGAGGATGATCAGAAGGGCGTCGAGGGAGATGGGCGCGAATCCGCTCGTTCTCAGCGCGCAACGCCGCTAGGTCGGCTTCATTAGCGGTCTGCATCACTGCTAGGTCAGTTTCGTGCTTGGCACGCATGTTTTGCAGATCGACGTCGTGTTGTTGCCGCATCTGTTCGACCTGGTCGATCAGTCTCCTCAATGTGGCTTCGTTATCCATGGTAGATGTATGATCTAGGTCGTCTATTACTCGTCTGCTATGGCTTCTGGTGCAAACCATAAGTGTGGCCGATAAGAGCTGTCTTGATCGGCCCCACGGTGGACGCCAAATGTTCTTACCGGGGATCTGAGGTAGAGTTGATCCGCTGGGTAAGGTCGGTGAGCCTCCTTCGCTGGTACGCTTGATGTTCCAAGATGGGGTGGTACTTGCAAAAGAGACTCCGATGCTAAAGTTAGGGTTTGTATGAGTATGAGTCTCGTATAAGTAATGCACGTACCTTGGTGTGAATTAGGGTTTTGTTGGGCCTTGGACCTGAGATCAGTTATGATCTGGTTAGATAGCGGATCTCGTCTAAACCGAGATCTCTCAACGCATGTCCGAGGTCGTTCTGCGCCGTGATACCGAGCTCGAGCTCGGCATGGCAGTACAGATAGTACAAATACCCATTAAATTATAAATACACTTATTTATTTTTAACTATTATTTTAGGTTGTGATTATACTTGAATTTATGAGAAATTAATATTTGAATATAAATATGTATTATGGTTAAAATATATAATAAAATCATCATTTTTTTTGCATATTATACTTTATATTATGTATATATCATAAATGATTTAAATTATATGATATTATTTTAGACTATTGATAATTTTTTAAATTTGTTTAATCAGTGGATAGAAAAAAAGGACAACGCAAGAAAATTAAGATCCTGCGAAAGAGATGCTGTAAGTATTAATGCTTTTATAAATTACTACATTTTATAATAATTTTTTATCCAAATAAATTTTACCATAAAATATTTTAAATTCACTAAAAGATGAATTATTTTTCTTGAAAATTATCATCCCGTATACAAGGTTGGGTTACGTTTAGTTTAAGAAAGCAAATGAAGGGAAAAAACGAGTAGATAATAATATGATTTTTTAAATGTAGAATATGAAAGAAAAAAATGTTCAAACTTTTATTTCTTATTTGGTTGTATAGAAAGTTAAAAGAAAAAAAGAACATATATGTAAAATGATTAAATTTAAATGCAACTTAAAAAGAAGTTATGATTTTCTTAACTAGAAAGACTAAAATATATCTTGCAACTCGACAATCTGCAACCAAAATTAAAATAGAGAAAATTAACCTTATTGTTTATTAATTTCTTCCCATCTATAAATTTCACCACAAGATCACCACCACCCATCGAGCTTGTTCCATGTTCACTGTCAATGTAGGTTATATTTTGCTTAAAAGAAAGAGAAATTCATTGTGTACTTTTTTATCTATTAAAATTACAATAATAAAATTTAAATTTAAACTTAATATATTATGTTCTACTCTCATCCACTATAGATCAACCTTACTGATTGAGAGAAAGTGATCGAATGATTATAATTTTCTGCACCATAACTATGATAAGTGGCCTAGATCATTTATTGAGTGAAAACATCAAAGAAATTAGAGAGAGAAAAGAAATGTGTGATAAGAAACCAAGTTAAATAATAAATCGTTTGATTGTAGAAAAGAATGATCGGGTTTAGTAATACTTGTTAGTTGTTCATCATCGAAGATTAAATTAATTAAATCTTATGCTTTGATTATTTAATTTATAAATTACTTTTTATTTATTTTTAATCCAAATACTTATATTCTTTTTATCTATTTATTTTATTTGTTTTCATCGTCACAAATACATCCTACTTGTTGATGTCACATGTATTATGTATCGAAAATTTTATTAAATTATTGGTTTCATTGACAAATGAAATCATTCACTTCACTAAAGGTTATCCTCCACATAAATCCAAATGCTAAATTTCATATACATATATTCAAACACCTTTTATTTCTTATAAAATTTAAGAAATTTAAGAAAAATTTATTTTTTATTTCTTAAATTTATAATTGATTTTTTTTTAATTTTATAATTTTAAATTTTTTTTGTAATTTTTATATTCAAATTTAATTAAAAAATATATATTAAATACTATAGCATAATATATACTTATATTGATATCTTTATTAAAATGTTAATGAAAATATTATATTAAACTTAATTGATTATATAATTATATCAATCTAACACTTTTAAATATATTATTAGTGACATAATGAATTAAAATAAAATTTTAAAAATTATAAAATTAAAATAATAATTTTAAATATGAAAAACTAAAAATAAATATACCTTAAATCTAAGGAACTAAAAATATATTAAAAAAGACGAAATATACAAACAGACTAACTGTTATTTTAATATATGAAACTTGTGATATTAAACTTTTATTTATTTTATCATTCCATAAGTTACACAACAATATTAATGCAACACCCTTCTTTAATCATTGTTTGCTACAGACCCTTATTCATAATTTCGTACAGAAAGCATATCAGCATCGAAATATATAAAAATAACGAGCATTTTCACTCAGCACTCACATCAAGTCTTAAATCCCCACCAACGAAAAGAGAAATATGATGAAAATGAAAGGTACTCTGAATTATCTAATAATTTTAGTGAAGAAACTGGGGTGGATCCATATCTGTTGATTAGTGAACCAAATCATTTAACTTCTTCCAAGCTGGCCTAGATGAAATTTTGTCCCACCAAGCACTCACATTCTTCCTGTCAGTGACCAAGTGCCCCATATTGGCATCCTCAATGAGATGCCCTAGCCCTGGAAGGTGACTCAGATCAGCCAGAGTGAAGGTTTCTCCAGCAAGGTATGTGCTCTCAGAGAGCCTATTTTCATACACATCAAGCACTTTCTCTAGATCCTTCTCACAGCTATGAGCCAATGCCAAGTTCCCAGGCTTACCCATCCTTGGCAAGATCACAAGCTGAAGCATCATAGTGAAGCACAAATCATTGAAGTTGTGTGCTTCAACTTCCAGCCATTGCTCCACAAGAGCCCTCTCCTCTAGGGTCTTACCCAATAGGTCTGGGCCACGGTCTGCATATTTTGTTGCATAGTACCTTATTATAGCCCTGGATTCTGCATTCATTAATAAGATGAAAAAACAATTATGCATATATATAACGTATGGAATGAGTACCGTCACATTGGACCCCACCAACTTACGTTGTTGCATCACCATATTTATGCGTCAAAGTAACCAAATTAAAGACCGAAGGGCGTATCAGATGTAAAATTGCAACGTATAAAATACAGGCTGTTATTTTTGGAGCTGCTTGTTACGTATAAAAAATAAAATTTATTGGATGTAAAATTGCGAACAACGATAAATTAGTAAGCTTTTAAATATCCCAATATTAATAGAAGGGGTGCTTACCAACGAAAATCTCAAAATAGAATGCGGAGAGATAGAAAGGAAAACGAAAAGGAAGGGAAGAAAATATGACAAGTAGTGATGTGATAAAAAAGAAAAGAAACAGAAGAAAAGAAAATGGAAGGAGACAACTCAAAAAATGAGGCGTATGGATATAATCATTGTTAATAGATAGGTTTAAATGGGTAAAGAAAGTGGTTTGATGCAGTTTAGTTTGCATCTCATCCATATGGCATAAGATAAAATTATGCACAGATAGAGATATGATGCAGTTTAGTTTGCATCTCATCCATATGGCATAAGATAAAATTATGCACAGATAGAGATATGATGCAGTTCTTACATTGAATATAGAGATAAACATATTAATTGATATTTAAGTGGTAAGAAAGGACGACTCACAAAATCAGATGTCTTTTGAGTTAGATATAATTAATATGAAATTTTACTAATTATATGATATTGAATGAGATCTCTTTAATCTAGGAAGTATTAAAATTGATGGTGTGAATGAATGATCAAGCAATATATATCAGGTAATACTTGTGAATGTCTGATTTATAGAGCTGAGGTGAATTTTTACCTTAAAAGTTAGTTTATCAAAAGAAAATAAAAAACACAATGAAGTAAACTATATCAAAATAATTTATTTAAATATTTTATAACATTGATTGAATATAGAGAAATTTTATCTCTTTCCGATCAAATGAATCGAAAGAAAAGAAAAGGTGTCCTAATCAATGGAATAAGATAATTTAACTAAATTATTAAATTAGGATTATATTATATTATACTGATTTTTAGAACATAATGAACAATGAATTTAATTAGACTTTGTATAATTAATAAATAATTTAAAGATTAAAATGATAAAAATTAGACTTTGTATAACATTTATTTCTTTAGAAGATAAAAATAAGAATTCAGTCTTAAAATTAATTTATATACTATTGGAAGAGAAAAGCATTAAAAAGGGAGTAAAGCCAAAAGTATTTTCATTATAGTGTGCTTTAATTTCTTACCAAAGAGCCTGAAGTCACCATCCTCCACAACCGGAACTTGACCAAAGGGCTGCAAGAAGAAATGAAACTCCCTTAGTATAATATATTAAAGACAAAAAGTAAGAAATAAGTGATCAAGTTATAACTGTGTGTGGCTTGAAATCAACCAAATTAAGCAACATATTGAGTCCACCTGTTTGAGAAGAAATTCAGGTTTCTTTTGGTCTCCTCGATCAAGATCAACATGCACAAGTTCAAACTCTATTCCTTTCTCCAGGAGGCAAGCCAACACCCTTTGGGGGCATGCTGCCCTTGGTGCACCATAGACCTTCACCACCATATTTCTCTTATAATATACACTTTGTTATTATGATATTGATAATTGAAGTTGGTGCAGATTTTGGGGAATATATATAGGGTAAATCAGTAGCCGCCAGTGTTAGAAATTAATTCGCCACTTAACTATCCAAGAATTGCATGGTGTGCAACCATCAGCATGGGGGTTGCCACGTGATGACTTCTTCCTTAGTGTTAGCTAATCTTCTTTTGCTTCTCCCTCTAACCCTCTTTCAAGCAACATATAAATAAATAAGTTACTGATAGTTAACAAGTACCTATTCGATTTTATAATAATTGCTAATTTTAATTATACTTTGTTATATTAAGGGTTTAAATGTGTTTTCAATCTTTGAAAATATCCTCTCAAGTTATTCTATGGAGTTTATCTCTTCAAAAAGCCATGTTCTATGCTATTTCGTATATAATAAAATTAGTATTTTGGTAACTATATTTATCATTTGTGTTTGTAATTACTGATGAATTTATAAAAAAATTTAAAATAAATTTATTTACCAAATTTTGGAGAAAATTTCCATAAACTTAAATAAATTTAGGATTTTAGTGATGTTATTATAATTATAAAAAAAGAATTTTATTGCAATGTCTATTAAAAATAATTATGTGAGTAAATTATTATATTAATCAAACTAATTGATAATTATTGTATTACTATTTAATTTAGTTGGGTAGTGTTTCCTTTTGTCTTTATTAGGCTAAAATTCTTGAAGCTCAAACTTTTTTGTGACTTATATCCCTCTCTATATTCTACATTGGGTCCGACCTTTGTGGCCCAAAGTGCTCGGTTGTCTCTCGTATATTCATCTGTTGGGCTGACCGGAATTTGTTTGAGCCCAGAAGCCATGTGTCGGTGAATGTAATTCCTTTTCTGATGGGAGGGATTGGCTCTCGAGTATTTTACCTCTCATTTTGCTATTTGCACCAATTTTGTTTTGTAAAAATAAACTTGAAAAATTATAATTTCCATTATGTATTTAAACAACGGAAAGCACTTTGACAAAAACTAATTTTTATTGTGTATTTAGATTAAAGAAACAACAGAAATTAATTTTCATTGCGGTGATATTTTTGTCAAAAACCCAAACTAATTAACATGGGTTCGAATTTGGATAGTAAAAGCTAATCCTTAAATTAAACACAGTCGTATTAGGGCAGACTTGTTTAGTTTCCAGCCTTCCAAACCCAAACATGTAGAGCTCCCTAGCAACTAGCAAGTAGCAAGTACGGACAAAACAAGAGTATACATTGGTTTGCTAATCAACGTAAACTATGTGCCCATAATCACGTTCTAAGATTCTAAGAGTGGCTTCAAGAAGGGACTTAATAGTCAGGGGTGGGCAAAAAAAACTAAACAGAACTGAACTGGTGGTGAACTGTACTATAAAAAATTGAACTATTTGTAAAAAAAACTGAATTGAACTGTTTAAAAAAAACTGAACTGAACTGAACTGAACTGTTGTAAAGTTGAACTGTACTGAACTATAAAAACTGAACTGAATTATAAAAATTGAACTATTTTTATAAAAAAATAAAAATTAAATGTGTTTAACATGTTATGTCTTAATAGATTAACTCGATAGTTTAATAACCAAAATTTTAGAAAAAAAGTGATTTGAAAAAAAATTGTATCAATTTTGTTGAACTTAACGGATCAATTGAGCTATGTTGAACTACTTATTTTTAGGCTTAAAATTCACTGAGTTTGTTTGACTTAATTTTATATTTTTTTCCTTTGAAAAATTTAAATAAAATGGAAAATAAAGTAAAGTTGACAAATGTGTCCTATTTTGATAGATAAATGAGTCAAAATTGTTCAATTCAAAATATCATAACAGTTTAGTGCAGTTTAAATTGCAGTTCAGTTCAAGTTTTTATAGTATAGTTCAGTTCAGTTCAATGACACAAAAAAATAGTTCACTTCAGTTCGTTTGAACTAATATTTAGTTTAGTTCAGTTCATATGAACTACTTTTAAGTTCAGTATAGTTTTTATAAGTTCAGTTCAGTTCGTTTTGCCCACCCCTATTAATAACTATTTGGAATCTCATACGAGATGAGAATTGTTGCTTCTAAAGCAATAAAGAATACAAATAAGAATACATCCTATGAAAGAATAAATATAAACATGAAAAATTCAACAAAAATGCAGAAAAAATGCAATAACAAAATAAATAAAAAATAAGAAAAGAAAATATAATAGATTTAAGTGATTTAATCAATTTGACCTATATCCACCACAAATTCTACTATCTTAAAATCAAGATCAATTTACAATAAAGTAACATCTTGTTCTTCTTAGAAATCCTTTGATCTCTCTAATTGGTTTTTTTTTCACTTAACATCTTTTTTCTAACTCTCTATGCTCATATTTAGCACTTTGTTCTTACATTTTTCTTTCTATGTCACACTTAAAAATGATCTTCAAATAAATATATATAGTGATCCAATAAACTAAGACTAAGTTTTATAAATAAGGTCATACTGAATCCACCATACTAATGAAAAATATACTAGATATAGTTTGAGTCCATCAAACGAATGAAGACAAATTGAATATATAATATGAATCCATCATATGAATGAAGAGAGATTGTACATGTAAAATTGTATAGATGAAATATTTTATAAAGTATACAAATGATTTATTAGATTTTGAGTTATAATCAATAACATGAATAATTTGTAGGAAAATTCTACCGTATTCATTATAATTGAAGGGTACTAAAACATTTTAATATATATTTTTTATTATAATTACTTGTTTTTATTTTTATCTTAATTTAATATTTTTAATAATCTATTTTTATAAAATTTTCTATATTTTTATATTATTTATATATTTTTTTTCCTATCTTAATGTAGCATCTATTATAATTAAATAGTTTAATATTAATATTTTGTTAATATATTTTAGTTTTTCTTTGATGTTAATTTTTTTTTTTAATTTATAGTATAAATTAGTTTTTCAATTGTATTATTTATTATTTTTCTTTTTTATTTTAATGTTTTTAAGTATTATTACAATTTTTTATTTTTTATTTTTGTAATTCTATCACATATAAACAAAATTTGTTATAAAAATTGACCTGTTGATTATTTTTTTTGAATTAATTTTTTTTTATTGATTCATCTTATACTAATTTTTAATCTAAAATTTATATTATTTAAAATTTATTTTTTTACTTATATGCTCACATAATTTAACGTACCAAAATTTTTTCGATTTTTATGGATACCGTTGCCGTTCCTTAATATGTATCCTCCTAATAAAATTATTATTTTCTTGAAGAATAATCTAGAGATAATTTTCCAAATAGTGACCATTCTTTTTAGCTATTATGGAGATCGACAAAAGAAATGCTACCAATTCAACATTCTCATTTTGGTAGGTGGGGAGGTCTCTTTTGTTATTTAGTGTTGTGGAGCCATATTCTTGAAAGATAAATAACGTGTAAAGGAAATCATATAAAAAAATGTAAAATTACCATAAATATGTCGGCCATATCCATATGCTAGCTAGCTACTATAATGGCAAAAGATGAATTCATGTAAAAGTTGATAAAAAAAAATGGCATTTTATAACCAAACCGATAGCATATAAGGAAACAAGAATATCATCTTTTGAAGTAGTCTTGCACCGAAAGCTACGAAATTTGAAAAATCTCTAAGAACAAAAATTAATCTTAGCTTTTGTGGTACCACCTTAATTAAGAAAGAATGAATCAAAAGATTACAACATAGTTATGCATGTGAAAGTCAATTAAGGTAGCTATAACCTTGCACTATCAAAGGCTTAATTTTTGCAGAAGGGAATGGAGATATTTAGCATCAAAGTTATACTTCGCACCCACTATAATAAAACTATTGACTGTTGACATTAATACATCAAAAAACAGTTGACAGATGTGACTTCGTGGATTAATTGGAAGCTCTGAAAGCTATTCTCCTTTGATTCTATGTCTCACATTTCTCATTTCATATCTAAAGTTCATAACTTCTTTTGCAAGTGGGAAAACTAGTTTTATTGCACTATATTAATTAAATGATGCCCAAAAAAATCCCCTCAAATGTTGGGAGCATCTACACTAAAGCCTAGATTCGTTTAGAAAAATTGAAAGCTGTCAATTAATTTTAACAAAAATATTAATTTAATTTAAAATTTGTGAAAGTTTCACAAGTCGGAGAATTGTTTGGCCAATTCGTTTAGAAAGCGGAAGTATTTCTCTATGAAATATCAAACTTATCAATAAATTATATACAAAACAATTAAATATTCTGTATTCTCTTCGATCAATCTATATATTGCATGCCTAGAAAATTAAGATGAGCAGCAAAGTCATACGTGCAGCAGAACTATTTTAGTGATGAAAACATATAATTTTCATTAGCGTTGATGAAATTATATATAGTGTTACATAGTCAACACTCATAGAAATTTAAAATCTTTAGATGCCTAAACCATATTACCGTAAACATTAGCAGATTTGTGTATTGCATTTTAATGCAAAATTACAATATTCTACTTAAAGTGTATTATATTTATCTAATTTAATTATTTCATACCATATATATTTAAGAAATTTATAACTAAGAAGAGACAAATTCATATCATTGAGATGAGACTTTAGAGGTTATTGATTTATGTAAATACTCTATTTTTTTTTATAAGACTGGATTATCTATTTTATCGTGATTGAGAAAATTAGTTAATTTAGTTGATAATATTAAATTTGTTAAAAATTTATACCTTTAACACTATGTAACTCTTAAACTACCAACTACTAATCGAATCTTAATTATAATATAAAAGACTAAAAACGAGAGTATTACTTTAATGTAATGCCTGCACTATGTAATTCAAGATAAGTCAAAACACTAAAATTCTATATAGATGTATTACTTTAAAATTTAGATAGTTGATTTAGTAAATTTTACCAGCAAACTAATTAAATTGAATGAATTGATATAATTTATGATAACACGTATAATTATAGTATAATATATATATATAAATAAGATCTAATAGTT